ATGGCACCACAGGCGGTAGAAAGAGATGGGGTAAGTGTTGTTTGGGCCATGTTTTGTTGGCCGTTTTTTTTTTTTTTTTTTACTGCTTAAATCTGCCAATTTACTCGTTTACGTTTAGGTTTTCTGTATGTGCTTGTGCATGTGTGTGAGTGTGAGTGCGAGTGCGAGTGTGCGTGTGTGCGAAAGAGTGCGGTGAACTGGGAAAAGCGGGCACATGTGTGCGGAAAATTAATATCTGTGCCATTTTTTAGGTTAATAAGGCCAAATTGAGTATATGTGCGAGACACACTTAATTATCATCATATTTATGGCCGTCACTGGGGGGACACTTCTGGGTGCCATGTCCTGCCCACATTTCCCACGCTTTTTTCGCTTTCCTTTTTTGTGCTCGTTTATTATGATTACGGGTAATTATATCTAATTTCGAAAGGGGGCGAATTGTTATCGGAGAAGCCAGCTCAAAGGCATTCTTTAAGATTTTGAAACACATTCTATTCCAAACTAAGTTTCTTAGTTCTAAGTACTTAAAGTTACATACTAGAGCAGTTACAGTTTCATCTTTCTTTGACTTCCTGATGGATTTTTCAAGACTCACTGTCTATTTCCTGGTGTCGATGATATAGTGGATTAAGGGCAATTTACTATTCCTCAGAAAATGACGGCTGAGAAGCCATCGACAGATGTCTGTCGTCGTCTCCCTTCATTTATATACAAATATACATACATACATATATAACCATCTATATGTATTCGTCGATGTCCCAGGTCAGTGCGAATGTCTAATCTCCCGGCTGACTGTCTAATCGCATTTGATGATGACTCGACTTGACTCCACTTGATTCGAATCCATTCGACTTCGTCCGATTCAATGCGACTTGACTTTTCCCTGGCTTTTCCGCACTCGCCCCCCTCGTATTTTCCGGGGAAAAGGCGGGCTTAATCAATCATTGGCCCTCCGCCTTTGCGCTCATCCTTCGCTTCCTGAACTTATCTATTCGGTTTCAATTAATTTTCCAGCTTTTATGCCAGCTGCATTGGCCACAAAATTTTGTTTGGCCAAAAGTTGGGGTTTGATTGGGGAATCCCTGAACTTTGAACTGGCCGAAAGCCCAGGCAATCGAAACTTTGTCAAGTGTTTTGGGGAAAACTTTGGAAGTGACCTGAAAAGTATGTTCAAGGAAATTTGATTCGATTAGATGGGATTTTTACTGCTGCTTTCTATTATTTTTTTTATTCCCATTCTTTTTTTTTTTTTGTTGTTTAACCTTTGTTGAGCAATATTTTGCGGGGCAAAAGTTTTTCCTTACGTTTCTCTTATGACGGGCACACAGGTGCAAACAGAAGGTAGAACAACAGGAGTAGCAGCCTCAGAATTTACATAAAAAAGTTTGTCATGCCCGAGGAAAGCGAGAAAAAGGGGGGAAAAGCCAGCACATGCATGTTTTTGTGTATATTAAAAATGAAAATGCTGCAAACGCTCGAGCATCAGGAAAAGCCTCGTCTCTGGGTTCAACGCTACTGTCTGGGCTTTTCCATTTTCCCTTCAGGTGCGCAAATATATATATATATATAAAATATAAAACATATATGTATATATGCATGATCATGTCTGGATTAGCTTAATGAAAGCAAAGGCTCCGACGAACAACAGCTGATGGGAAAGCCGGGAAAGCTGGCAGAGCTGGCAAAATGTTAACAGTCAGTGCCAAGAAAATGCTGTCACGCAAAAGCGCTAAGACGCTGACAATGTACGCTTTTCCGCGGGTGTTTTGCGGCTGCGAATTATGTGGGCTTGCTTAGTTATACTCTTTTGTTATTGTTAACTTCTGAATTTTCAAAAAAAAAAATATTTTCTTAAGGTTGTATTTTTTTTAACTATTTATTTTCAGCTTAAAACTCATATTTGTCATTTCAAAGAATTGTATGTGGCATACAATTTAACAGATAATTTCCAAATAAAATTCAATTCATACATGGTTGCTTCTTGATATCTACTTTTGTCTACTTCATCTAATTCTTTTGAATGATGAAAGAGCATTAACAAGTCGACTTCAGCTTCGTATTCTTTTACAACATGTGCTTACATGTGTGTAAGCGCATTTTCCAACGTGTTGGGGGCTATGACATGCTGACGGCAACATGCAACACAAGCCACCAGGCGCAGCGGCAACATCGGCAACACAGAGACGTGCTCGCCAGCAACTACAAAAGGGAAAATGGGGAAAACCTTACCTACCAGCCAGAAAATCCTTCAGAGTCGCGTCGAAACATCCGCGTGGCGACGTCATCGTCATCGTCATCGTCCTTGTCTTCTATTGTTGTTTTTGCTACTGTTTGCCACTATTGTTGTTGTTGGTGTTGTTGTTGTTGTTGTTGTTGTTACTGCTGTTGCCGCTGGCAGACATTGCTGCAAAGATTTGCGAAAAGTTTACAGCCTCAGACATTTGTTGTGGCTTTTATAAATTGTGTCTGTGCGTGGGTGCCAAGGTGTTTTCTTGGGGACTTAGTGGGCAAAAAAAAAAAAAAAAAAAGGAGGAGGCGTGGCACAGTCTTTGTTGCAATACAGCAGCAGCAGCAGCAGTAGCAACAGCAACATCAGCGGCACAGCGGCAACACGGAACACGTTAAGCGCATTGCCATTTGTGCCACATCATGGCAAAAAGGTGGCGGGGATTCGAAGGGGAATCCTCCTCACGGGTCATGGGAATCCCCGCAGCTGGCAGAAGTTGTTCAATTTAGCAAACAAAACAAAGCAAAGAACGTATAGAAAAGATATATAAAAGGGCGAAAATAAAACACGAAAAATTGACTGCCTTTGTGCAAGCGAATGGCTTAAGCGGGATTTATCGGCACGGCGAAAGGTGAACTCGATTGATTGCCCGATAAAGATGAGCGATGATTTGGGCTATTACGATATACAACCAATTTATGGACACTGTCTTTCAGTTAACTCCTCAATTAATCAGCTGTTCAGGGAAATCATTTGTGATTTTTTTTCTTTAATTCATTGGCAAAGTAATGTAGTTTGGAAAAAAAATGGTAGCCACGTAATAAAACCTGTCTTTTTGGTCAACTTAAAAGCTGTGCAGTAAATAATGGGTCCCCAGCTTATGGACTAGTTTTATCTGCAGCGTTGGCCGATGTGCATCCATCAGGCATCAATTTTTCACATTTATCGATTACGGTTATTAATCATTCCCTTTTCAGTTCGATTCGATGCACCTTTGTCGACTCACTCGTTGCCGAATCCTTTGGCTTAAGCGCTTTCAGCTTGTTAAATGCATTGCCGGCAAATTGCATTCCCCATTTCCCAGCCATTTCCCAATTTCCCCCGCCCACATTTGCCGCCCACTCCGTGACAGGACACAGATGTGACTGTGTGCGGGTGCGAGTGAGATGGATAGCTTAACTCGCGTTGTAATTAACATTAATTTCGTATAAACTTTGGCACATTGCGTATACGCCATGTGTGCACGAGACTGTGCATGGCCTTTTCAATTCGCTGTCACTGCCAGTAATATTATCATACAAGCTGTATACACAGAGAATTAACATTTCAAACCGCACTTCACGCTGTTTTTAAATTATCACTTTTTGCTTAAAGAGCGAATAAAAAAAAAAAAGTAAAATGGAAGCAATTGATTATCATAAGTAATTTAAACGGTTTTAAGCTTTCAACTTTCAAGTGAATTTAAGAAAATGAAAAATTAATTCTAAAACTAATTTCAAATGGTAAATTTTATATTGGTTAACTTATTATTCTCTAAGTGCAGGTATGATGCTAGATTGTCGTGGGGCACAAATTGACTGCGAGCACAATTGTTTTACACATTGTTGTCTATGTTGTTGTTAAGACAGCATCTTTATTTGTAGATATTCATAAAGCATGAACCGTATGCTTAACCCCTTGTTGCCCTCGGGGTTCTGGGTGTTTGTTTAAGTTTCCTCAATTAACCTTTTAAATTTGAAGTCCTGATTGTTGTTGTATTCGAGCACTTCGCATTCTGACTAATATATGATGTCTCTTTTCGTTTCAGGTAAGTTGTGCCACTGATGATGGGTTAATTTACTTTTGGTCTGCCTGTCAAATTGTGAAAACTCAATTAAAGCAAAGGGGTAAGCAATGGAAAAGCGTCTTAAAGATGTCAGCAAATCCAGATATACAATGGCTTTGCTTTGTTTGCTATTTGCGGTTGGCTGCACTGTCAACTGACAATTGCAGCTGCAGAGCTTGAAAAGGAAAAGCGCCAGGAAAATGGGGGAAAGCTGAGTGCCCAAAAGGACCTGAATTTTTCCTCCCCAAAATAATAAAAAAAAACAGCAATGTAAAAGGGAGAAAGTCATAAACAAATGCCGCATGCACGTGACTCATCTCAACTTTTTTATTGCTGTCAAGTTGCAAGCCAGAAATGCATGTAAAAAGTTGTTTTCATTTTACAATACGGTTCTTGCTCATTTGTTTTCTTATTGATTTAATTATTTTTTCATATATTTATTTGTAAAACATAAATGGTTAGTTAAAATACCAATTTTACTGCCATAGAGCGGACTTCCTTTTGCGGCGGCACATTCCATTGTCTGTTTGAAGCCAAAGAAGTTGTCGGTGGGCGGCGATGGGGAAAGGGGGCGTGCCGACAAGGAGCTGGGAGTCCTAGTCCGACTGTTGTTCACTCCATCTCGTTCCACCTTCCATTTCGTTGTTTTTCAGAGGGAACTTGAGTTTTGTTTGTATTTCGCTTTGTCTTCTATGCTGACACATTTTTCTTTCCCATCTATTTTATACACTGAGTGTGTGTGAAACCGGAAATTAGAAATGCAACAAAGTGTTCTGCACAGTTTTGAAGATATTGTCTTGGTTGAAATCCAGGAATTGCCTTGAATATTTACTTTAATAAGAAATTTGCATTTACTTTTTTTTATTTAAGAAAAGTTAAAACTTTAAAGAAATCTTAAAAACTGAGTAGATTTATTTGTAAGGCAATGTTTTTTATGCCAAAACTTTCATTTTACTTTGAGACGTGAACATTTCGACAACACTACAAATTCCCAAAAAATAAAAAAAAATAAAAAACCCCAGTCTTGTAAACAGTTTTTCGAAGGCGATTCCAAAATGGAGAGCGACGAGGGCGTGGGTGAGCGACCATCGACATCGGGTGCATTGGTCAAGGATCCCGAATCTTTGATCGGCATATCGGCAATGCTGGGCTTTGCCCAATCGGAGTATTCCCTGAATATACATACATCCGATCCGATAATGGCGAACCGGCGCCATTTGGAGAGCGAAAACGATGGCAATGCCACCGATGAGGAGGTCGAGATCTGTATAACCCGATTGAATTTTCTGGCCGATCGGCGAAGGCGTTTGTATATGGACTGTCAGCTGTCGCTACCGGCGGGCGGAAGTGGCCCAATGCAGGGCGGGGCGGAAGCCATATCCGTTTCCGCTGTGGATAGTTGCATCAGTTCACCGGAAGTTCGCTACGAACGACTTAGGACCTCAGCTGCCGAGCAACAAAAATACTGGAGACTACAGAAAGTGTCATTCGAATGTCCCTTAAGTAACTGCGATGTGATGTGTAATTCTGGCAATCTTTTGAGCCACTGCCTGATGGCTCATGCAGATATCTTCGTGTGGGAAATCAAGACGGCCGAAACGAAGAGCTTGAAGTTCATTGGGAAATCAATGCCAGCCGCCTGGGGCAAAAGCAACTGTGTGGGTCTGCTGGTCTACGAAGGTGCCAAACAGGAGGCTATGAACTCGAATCTGCCAAAGATCTATACCGAGTGGGAGGGCCGTTTGCCAGTGTTGATAATGCTGTGGAAAACATCCTGGGATTCGGTACCGGGCGGTCCTCGGGTTGCCCACATCTATATCCTTTGGCTACTTTGCACCCAAGCTCAACCACCTTTGATGGTGACCGTGGAAACCGGGGCGAGTCCCTTATGCTTGCCGCGTCGCCAAGTGATCCTCACCTGCCCAAATTCGGATGTTCTGGAGAACTGTGACTTTCTTCGCGACAGCCAGCTCTTTATGCGGTTCACCCATCGTGAAATGAAGGAACTCACCAGGGATTATTCGCAGGACATCGAAATGCAGTTCACTATTCACGAAGTTGAGAAAATCCAGAAGCTAGATACCATTGATATCAAAAAGGACGATCAGAATGAGCATGAAATTCCAGTGGCAGTGGATGAGTTGCAAACTAGGAACCTAAATAATGATGATGAGACATCCAAGGATGAGTTTTGCCTCGAAAACCTAAAAGATTGAAGGAATTCAGTGTAAATTATCTTATTTTCGATTGATTTTTCTAAATTGTTTGCGTTACTTTGATAGATAAAAATACATGTCATCCAAATTTCGTTAGTAGCAATAAATGTTTTCTAAAATTTAAGTAAAAAAACTGCATAAATTAAAAGCAAGGAAGTCAACAGCAAAATTGAGTGCGAAGTTTACCTGATTTATTTAATTATTTGTGAGTGGCATTCCACGCCTATTTTTTATTCCATTACACTTTTTATTGAATGACCGGGGAAAACATTGGGAACTTTCCGCAAAATTTAGTTAACTACCCTTTAGGCTTTGTTACATATTAAGCAAACGTTGATTAATCTAATTACTTAGTTTTTATGAACCGCCCACAACATCAAACTATTGTGGAACTGCCATTAAATCAGCCCTTTGACCCCGAAGTCGTTATACATAATTTTGTACTCGTACTTTTTTTTTTTTTTTTTTTTCAATTTTCTCGCCCAGACTGACAGCTTAATTTAATTATTCTTGAACACAAATGTTGTGGCAAACTCGCCCACTTAACCCACTGTGTGTTTGCTTGGCCAAAAAGCTGTTCACTAGAAATTTTTCGCTTACGCCGCAGAGTGTGCAACATGTTTGCCATGTGGGAGGCGTCGAAAAATGGGGTTTGGGTTTTCGGTTTTGGTGTCCAGGTCGTTGGCAGCCATTAGTACAAATGTCGTCGCAAAAAGGGGGCGTGGCATTGTGGGCAGACAGAGGATGAGGAGGAGGAGAAAAGAGAAAGGAGGAGTAACTGCATCAACAACTTTTTAACCAACTTGCCAGCCCAGACTAACAAGACCGCAGAAATTGTGAGTAGAAAAGGGAGTCGAGGGAAAAGTGGGTTGAGTTTGGGGTGGCAAACTAACTAACTCGATGCTTTCGCCTGCCACTTGTAATGTACCGTTATTGTTGCAACAACACGGTTGGCGGGAAGGGAAGGGGAAAGCGGGAAAGGGGGAAGGGGGGTGGCAGTCCAATGGTCCAATGGGGTTTTGGCTGCTTTGTCCGCGAAATTTTGTTTTCGACTTTTTTTCGGTTATAAAAAAATGTAAGCACAACTTCAGCTGCAGAGATTTTTCGGTCAGCGTTAATGCAGCAGTGTTAACCCCCTTAAAACCTTATACCTCCCAATCTCCTCCCCCTTCAAAGGACGCTGAACGCTTTATGGCCAAAGCATCAGTACACTGACGAAAATATTGGTGACTCCAAAACTCAGGCAGAAAGTTTATACAATTTTGATGATATCAAATGCATTTCTTTAAGTACATTTTATCAAAATGAAAAATTCAGCAATTATTTGTATCTGGTGTATTGTATCTATTGTATTCTGGTGTTAGAAACCCCCGTTATTTTTCTGGCAGTGTATCCGCGGTCAGTTCCATTGCGGTCTGCTCATCCGTGTCCGTGTCTGCCAAGTTTTTTGGGCCCCTTGACCCCTGGACCCCTTGTGCCGCAGCCTCGGCTAAATAGTTGGCAACTTTTTGTGTGTGTGTGTACTTTGTAACACTGGGTTCCCCCTTCGGACACTTTAAATTGCACACAAATTGGCAGAAATGCTTGTTGCCAGAGTTCCATTTTGGCCGTTGCCTTTGACAAGTTTTTTTCCTGCAAAAGTTGCTTTTTTCTTTTATTTTTTTTTTTTTTTTTGCCGCACAAACTAAAAAAGATCGCATTTTAATAAAACTAAGACAATAACGACTTTGTGTCTCCCTTTGTTTGCTCGTTTTCCGTACATTTTTTCTTTACCATATTTCACTCTTTTTTTTTTTTTTGTTGTTCACCCATTTTTGTGTCTGGTCTACTTGACTTCGAGAATTAAGTGCTGTGGTTTGATGTTGTCTATGGCCAGCCGCAAAATAAGTGCCAATTGAACGTTTGATTGTACCGCCAGTCGGAGAAGTTTGCCGCCTGAAACTTTGGTATTTAGTTTAACACTTCAATCGCCGGCTTTAATTATGATATCTGCTTAATTTGTATATTTGCGAACTTAACATAGAAAACATTCCGCTATAATTGTTGTACAAATTGTAATTTGTTCGCCTGTCCTCGTGGCCCTTAACAATTAATCATGCAATTGCATTTAATTTATGTTTTGCTGTTTGCATGGTTTGTTATTTTTCATTTGAACAGGCCAACTAACCAATTAAATAATGTAATATTCATTTGCATTGACAGAAGCGGGCGGTTAGTTGAAAGTGTTGTCCACGTTTTGGAAATATATTTTGTATAAATATTTGAATACAAATATGGGTTGTTACAAGCACCGTATATTTAATACACAAAAGATAGTTTTACATCTAATGAAAAAAAAAAAAAAAATAGTTACATATATAAGACATTCTTAGGCAGATAAAATGATTTTTTGAAGTCCATCAAATATTGTCATTTATGCGCTGGCAACTTGTAATTTCTGGGTCACTTGCCCTGCCACGTTTCTCCGGAGCTTCAGAGCTCCGCCATCCGCAGGACAATAAACGCCAGCAGTCGCCCTTTGTCCTGTATCCTCGAACCTCTGCTCCTCCTCCTCCTCCTTTGCGCCATGCAGGCTGCATGAATTACGAGGTTAATTAGAAGTTTGACACGAGGCATGGGGCACTTACAATATGTACATGGAATAAATATATATGCGCACACAGGGTCCTTTTCGGAGGAGTGCAGGAGTGGAGTTTGGGAGGCTGGATCCCAGTTACTGGGTCCTGTATTCCGTGTCCTGGAACTGGAGCAGCTGTCGTTGCAGTTCGAGGCACGTACGTGGCTCACACACACACATACACCAACACACAGACACACACGCATGGCCTGCATAAATAATGCAAGAGTGTGAAAAGACACACACACCGGCGCAGGGCAACATTTGCTTAGCTTTGCAGGCAGCAGTTTTCAATATCAGCCTAGCAACTGGGAAATGGAAAAGCCCCTTACCCCCTTCCTCCCCTTCCCCCGTTCCCTTTTCCCACTCCACTCAACACCCGCCCACTGCCACGCCCATTTGGCCAGCTTGCACTTGTTTATCATTTATTACTGCAGTCGGAAAATCTGTTTCAGCTCCTTCTACATTTCACATTGTTTGTCTTTTGTACACTCGGCTCCATGTTGTCCTACCATTTTTCCCCACAGCATTTTCCCAGAGTTTTTCTAGATTTTCACTCTTGATGACATTTTTGCTGGCTGCTGAAAATGTTAAATTGAATGTGGCAAAGGTATTTTGCCTGATAAAAATAGTAAATGTCATCAGAGGTAACCAAATTGTATTTATAAAATGCTATTTGTGTTGCAATTTAGGTCGAGCTGGGCAGGAATTAAATTTGCTTAAATTCTCATGTCAAATAAAAGGTTTAGTTTAAAGTAACCAAGCATTAAATGGTGACAGAAATGGGCAGCTTTATAATTAGTTATTTCGGGGCTTAGAAAGAGTATTAATTCCAGTTTGGAAAATGTTAAAATCCTTGGAAATGATCCAATTTATCCAATTCTTGGATATGTCATATGTTTATCAGACCAAACTAGTTCTTTATAATTTTAATGCCGTTTTAAGATAGCTCGAATTTCTGTGCAAATTTAATGCGCGCCTGTGGGCGTTCTTTAATTTAATAAATATATATGCAGGCGCCTGAATTCAATTTCATAACCAAAAGTGGAGGGCACACAGACAGGCAATTGCAGCTGCAGTTGCAGTCATAAATGTGAGTGTGTGTTGGTTTGCTGCCTCTGCAGGTGTGTGCGTGTATGAGTGTGTGTGTGTGTGTGTGTGTGGGTCTGCACCTCGTTTCTTCTTCGGTTGATAAAGTTCATTTACCTTTTGGCGTTTATCTAAATGCCCTCTCTCTTTCTGGCTGCCTCGCGCCATCTCCCTCTTGCAGTGGCAAAAGTGTAATTGTCTATCTTATGCTTTGCATTTGCACACAGATACACATGTGCACTGCTAGAAACTAATGAGAAAATAACAATAAATTAGTAGATTATTAAAGTTAAAATACAATGTATTGCACGTAAAAAAGATTTGATAGAGTACAATTTTAAATTGTTTTTAGGCCTGTATGTATTTTTAATTAGAAATTATTTGTACGTTTTTCTTTTGAGTGCAGACAAGACATCTCTAACTTTGTTTGTCTGTTTGCATTTGAAGCTATGCTTGAGCTGCATATTGCCTCAATCCTTTTCTCTCAGTGTTTTTGTGTGGGTGTGTGTGTGTGCTCTTGAGTGTGTGTGCTTGAGTGTGTGACATTAGTGCAGCGGGTCATGCCAACGTTTTCTTCTTCGCCTTCTGCAGCTGTCGTTTTCGCGAAATTTGAACTTGGTTTTATGGGCAAACCGAAACCAAAGTCACAACAAATTGGAATGCACAAAATTAAGCAGAATTCTGATGGGTAAAGTTTTAATTTTAGATTTCAGTTGGAAGCAGTTGAAGTTAAATATGGAACTTGAAACTTGTTTTTGCCAAAAAGTTGACAACATTTCGCATTAGCATTATTAAAGGAGTTGAAGAACTTTTTGTTTGTTATAAAAATGACAAATTTTTAATATCTCTTATATGTTCTCAAACTAAAACCGACAAAATGGGAGCGAATTGTATTTAACTATACTACTATTTTAGACTGAAATTCTTTTGGTTATTTAACGAACTTAAATTATTTTATATCATGTCGGGGAAAGGGAAAACCATTGAAACACCGACTTAATAAAGTCTTTCATAAATATGCGAAATATCCCTTGCAATTAACCCATTTGGAATTTAATTTCGAGTTGTTTCGCTTTCGATTCAATATCCATTTTCAATTTGATGCAATTAGCTGAAGTTCTGTGCAGACAGCGAGCTCAATAAATTGAATTTAATTTCCTCTTCCCGGTTTTATGCAGGCGCAAAGGTATATATATTCGCATATATGTATTCGCACAAATATCGGGCATTGTGCGGTTGTTGCAGTTAACATTTATTGCTTTTTTTTTATACCTTCACGCTGTTAAATGAAATGTTTTATTTCTCATTTTGCAAGGGGGCCTTTTGCAGGGCCATGGAAACCCTCTTGGCATTCCATTTCAATTTCACTTGAAAATGCACTTCGAATCGCACACAAACACATCGAATCGCGGGCCACTCGGAAATCAGAGAAATCAGAGGAGAGCGGCCAAACGCAATTACACGGTCCCGGCTTCCATGGGTTAAGAGTGGGGCCGTCGTTGGGTTAAGGGGTCCAGAAGTTCAGAGGGGCAGCTGGTCCATATAAAGCATTGGCAAAACTTCATTACTAATTCCATTTCCAGCACAAATTTACCCACATATGCTCGCAAATGCCATTGCAAATTGTACGCAATTTATATTTTAAATCTCATCTGCAGATGGGTGGCATTCGTGGGGGGCGGGGGGAAATTCGAGGGGGTTCCTGTGGTGAGCCAAAGTTCAATTTTGAGATAATCAAAGGGAAAATTGCTAGCCTGCAGGCGAAATATGAAAGATGTCGCAATTGAAATTATTCAATTTAGGGTCCAAGTTTTACCAAAAAAAAAAAAAAGTTGCCTTTGCAATAAATTTAAAATTGATTTATTTAATAAAGGTTTTTCCAATAGGTGAGTTGTTTTCAATTATTATTTTACAGCATACCAAACTTTTCACCATTTTTTCATTCTTATTTTCAAGTACAAAAAATGGTTCACGAATTTATGCACCAATTTGTATTCCTATTTCGCGGTTCAATCAATTGTTGCCGGTCTCTCTATTTCTTTAGCCGTCTATTTCCCTGGCAATATCTCCTCTATCGCTTCTTCCGCCTCTCTGCAACCGCTTTCCCCCAGATTTTCCCCAGTTTTCCATTGCTTTTCCTTTTGCTGCTCACGATTTGGTGCACCCAATCGACCCATAAACCCAGTTATTTACTTAGAAGCGCCTTTTAACATTTTTTTTTGCCACTGCTGCCGCTTCTTCTTCTTCTGCTTCTGCTGCTGTTGCAACGGTTTAATGGCAACTTGGCGTCGAAGTTGGCGTCGCAGTCGGCGTCGCAGTCGCTGCAGTCGGCTTTTTGCATTAAATCAACGCGCGACCACCGCCAACAATAATCAACAAAACAGAGCGCACAGAGAAAACTTTGGCCGCAATAAAAGCCGGCACCACCTACACCATTTCCTACGGTTTTCCAAATCCTACACTGCGAAAAAAGAGTCTTAGTTATGATTTAGTTGTGATGACTCTTAGTTTTTAATATCCAAAATGATGATAAAAAAAAGGAACAATACCTTGAAAAATTATTATTTTCCATATATTTATTAGCCTTAACAGTTTTTGGGATCTTTTTTAAAGCCTCGATGCCCATAACCTCGTAACCATAATCTAAATTTTAAAATCAAGAGGTATTCTGCCCAGTGTACATAGCCCACTGTGCAGTGCAACCAATCTCAATTGCAATTCGAACTCCAATACGAGAATTCGTTTCAATTTGTTGGTCACCCAACATCCACAGCCCCCTTTTTGTGGAACCAACCGCAATCGTGGGGATTTCTGATGTACGGGGTAGCTTGTGGGTGGGTGAGGTGTTTGGTGTGGGGTGGGGCAGTGGGTGGCTACCATCCTGCCAAGAATTGATTCGCGCCGAGTCGCGCCGCATGCAAATAAGGTCAACGTGCGCTGGCCAAAAGCCGCCAGTCAGTCAAGGAGCGGCTGAGACGAATGCGACTGAGCCAGCGGCCCATTTAGGCACTGCACTGTCACAAAAAAGGGGTGAAAATAAGGAACGGCGATTGATTCGAACTTACCCAGATAAAATATAGAAAAAATAGGTGAACATTGAATGTCGATTTTCGAAATTTGAAAAGGTTTAAATTAAATAGATGCTCCTGGACTTAAATCTCTAATTTTTTATTAAAAAATCCAATTAACCTATTTTCACCTGCGGAAAATCGGAAATAATTTTACGTAGTTCTTTTATGAATTCATAAATTCATAAACCCATTCATACTTAAACTTTTCTGACAGTGCACCTATGCCGGAAAGTATGCAACACTGCGCCAACCGCTTGACTGAATGACGGTTGATGCAGGCCGGGAAAAGGGGTGGTGTTTGGGTGGTGGGGCGACTGGGGGTTTGGCTGGGGTGGCTTAGTGTCGGTTGCCTTGTCTGTGGCGCTTGTTTGCCACGTTGCCATTTGGCACATTTCGAATGAGCGAACGAACGAATGAGCGTGGCACAGAACAAGATGAACCAGCGGATGGGGACAAGGGGAATAGGAATTTCTCTTTGGTCTTTGCCGTTGTTGTGCAATTGCAAACATTTAGCATGGCGACCTAAAACAGTTGGCACACAAACGAACACGCTAGAAACGGGAAGAGCGGGGAGTGCGCTTCAAAATGGCGCAAAAAAGAAAGTGGGGGAAAGCGCTACGGAAAAGCTGGGGAAAACTTCCCGGGGCGGCAAGAGCATAAATTCGAATCGCAACGAATAATTGAATCAGCACCAATGACCTACGCGTTTCTTATCCCTTAATTATAATAAATTTTACGCAATTCAAGTAATAGTTTCGGTGCCCGACGTGGGACTCTATTTTCAACGTTATTCAACTTCTCCAGTGAATATTTCACATATATATTTGCCTTTTCACAGAGCTCACCATTTAATTAAAGCTATGTACCATTTTGAAATTGCATAAACACCT